AGAGTCATTGATGATTCACTACTATTACTGTCACTCATTTCATCATTAAAACATTGTCACATTGATAGCGCAATTTATTGTGGAATCCATTTTGATTTTCCGCTTCTAATGCGTTCAATATCGTTCCGTTTCAAAGCATGTATCATGCGCATAATGAAACGAAACGCAGCCAATGCGCTAAGCATTAGCGATGCGAACAATGCGTGCTATGCGCAAAACGGAACGCAACCGACGCTGTTCTGCGCATGCGAGACGTTTTTCATCAAAGTCCCGAGCACGACGAAAAGTTGTCACCCAGGCGTTTGGAAATAGTGAAACGGAACGCGGTTATGACGTCACACTTTGGTAACCAGAACGGTAATTAGACGAAAAGTTGTCGTCCGGACGTTAATACGAAACGCACCCTTGCGCAACAAAACGAGTAATTCCGTAATGAGAGCTTTCCAGAGCGAGCGTGCTCTCGAGAAGTAACGGTCGTGCGCCCGTATACCTACAAACGGACAAGAGTAAAGAATTTGTCGGGCGACCGCTACAAAAGCTTTTAAAAGAAAATGACATTCGTTTTCGCGTAGCCCGCAATCCGGATGTCAAAGCCGCCATCGTCGAGCGCTTCAACAGAACGTTGAAAGAACGAATGTGGCGTTATTTTACGCATAAAAATACACGACGCTACATCGATGTTTTACAGAATATCGTAAACGCCTATAATCACACCTGTCATTCGAGCACCAGAATGCAACCGTATGTCGTTACGAGAGAAAATGCACGTATCGCGCGTGAAAATATAATGCGCCAATGGAGGAGCAACAACGAAGCGAACGAAAAACGCCGAAAGGCTAAATACCACGTCGGTGATCTCGTTCGTATCAGTAGAGCAAAAGTCATCTTCGAGAAAGGATACGAGGCACGGTGGAGTGAGGAGATATTTCGAATTCACCGCATACTCGATTGGCGAAAACCACGTGTGTACGAGCTGAGCGATTTAGCGGGAGAAGTCAGACGGCATTTTTTACGAACAAGAATTGGCTCGGGTTGAGAAAAACTTGCAGGAGGAGGAGTTTATCGTCAATCGTGTGATAAGAAGTCGGAGTCGCGGTAATAATAAACAGGTGCTGGTTAGCTGGCGTTGTTATTCCAGCAAGTTTGATTCTTGGATCCCTGCTTCGAGTTTAACCCCGTGCATGTGAGATTGAATTTCAACGTTTGTGCCAAGAGCAGAAAAACGATATATCAATTTTGCATGCATATCCAATTATTAAATCGGCATTTTTAAAATATAATACTCTGTTGCCATCTTCGGCTCCAGTCGAAAAAAAGGTTCAGTTTTGCCACCATGTTTGATGCTGCAGAATTTAATCGGCTGACAGATGACAATTTTGAAAAAAGAGTACTGTCAAAAGCAAATTGTATCTTTGGGAGAACGTAAAAAATAAAATTACTTATACTAAAAATATACTTACATTAA